CACCACTACATGGTTGGTGGGCTCCCATCGCACAGCACCATAAAAGGAATCTAGGGGCCAGGGCACATGACATGAGGTTCTCCTGAGCTACCAGACGTCCCACCGATCATTCTGTAACGCTAACCGATCTAGAGAGACGGTGTTGCCAGCGACGGGAAGCCGCCACCGACTTCACCGTTGCCTCTGCATTGCCACCACTACGCTGGACTCCACTGCGCCGAGCTGCCATGACACCGGCGTCCACGCCGCTGCGGCGCCATGGACCCAACTGCGTTAGGGCGAGTTTCTCCACCTAAGTAAGAATTTTATCCCCATGATCTATGACTTTAGAGGTACTACAACCTATCAGAAGAGAGATTATGTCACAAACGAGTTTCTCCGGTAGACCGCAATGGTGTGCTCCTTCCTTGGTAGCTTGCAGCTCCAGGCCTCCACATCTTCTTTGCACTTAGCGATCAGGCGTTCGGCACTGGGCTCAAGGCCCCTGAACACTACATCATTCCTGTGTCGCCAAATCTCCCAACAGCAGAGCAAGATCAGGGGGTGAGCCACCTTGTGGACTCTTGGTGGTGTTGCTATCTTTCTCGCCAAGGATGCCGACGGGTACGGCGCCCACGGTGGTCACCATCTGCGTCTCGTCGAACAGTCCACGCCGTCACGAGGCGGAGGGTGTGGGCTAGAGACGTCAGCGATGGCACCTGGAGCACGGAGGTGGTGGTCGGGGTGACGGCAATGATGGGCCTTGCGGGTCCCGTGTAAATGTTCGTGGTGTTGCACTGCGTGTTCTGGATAGCGGCGAGGATGCGGTGTGCCTTGAGGAGCCTGTTGGGGCGGGGACACGAGCAAGACGAGCTGCACAGCGGGGTTGATGGGCGGGGTGGGCAGGAAGAGGAGGTAGATGACGAGGCGGGAGAAGCGGAAGCCAACAACCATGGAGGTGGCGTAGAAGAGCGCGTGCAGCAGCAGCTACGCGGCGGGCTTGGCCGGCTCCGGGGCCACGTCGGGCGGCGGCGCTGTTGTCCTCCCTGGAGCCCACGAACGAGCCATGCCGCTGACATAAGGATCCCGGAGCGGCCGGCTCGAAGCGGGAGTGTGAGCGAGCGCAATGGAGGCCCGCTAGGCCGCTAGGGCACGGGCGCGGCCGCAACCAGCGGGCGTGGCCCCTGCCGGCGCTGGCGCTGCAACGACACCCACCAACAACATCGGTTCAGATGCGCCAAATGAGCCGTGGACATCGGTTCCGGCGCGGGTACAGGTCGCGTTCGAGAAAGAAGCAGGAGGGTGGTATTTTGGACATTTTCATCATCCGAGCCCACGTGTCAGGACAGATAAACGGCAAGAACCCAACGAAAGGTAGACGGAATAACGTGGAGGGCAAAAAAAGTTGACCCGTGACACCCTATGACCATTCAAATTTTTTAATGGCTCATAAGTAATTACAAACTTTTATAATAATACACAGGTAAAAGCCTCAAAAATTTTTTTTATTGATATGCCAGTCTAATCTTTTTTCGAAAAGTTTTTTATGTCCTTTACACGTGTTTCAAGTTCCATATTAGAATTTATTTTCTTCCCTGGATGGTTGGTATATGGTCTAACATATCCACAACATGAGGGGTCAGGTATTTTGTATCGAGAAATGCTAATGCTCAACTGATTGGTTGCCGGTTGTTATCAACTGTTTTTTGGCCGTGCGATGCGGAATCGACGGCCACGTGCTCCCGCTCTCTTCGTCGTCCAGGTCACGACGGTGTCTTCCTCGGGTTCACGTGCAACGATGCGCTCTGCGACGGCACTGGCTTCTGGAACTTTCTCAACGCGTGGGTGGAGCTCGCGTGCACCAGGCTCGCGCCCGTGGAAGCCCCACGCGCAGTGGTGGGATTGTGGCCGCCGCCCTTGTTCGAGCGCTGGTCGTCCGACGGCGGTGCGGCATCGCCGGTCGTGCTCCCCGTACGCCGACCTGTCGGTGCTTGGCAAGAAGTCCGCGACGCCGACGCACGTCCAGCAGTGGGTCACACGTCGGGTGCACGCTGAGACGGCGGCCATCCTTAGGTTCCTGGTCCGGTCCCATCCGCGTCAATCTCTCCTCTCTCACCTCATTGTGTGGATTTTGTATTTTTTTGAAATTTCTGAAGAATTTGTGAATAATTTGATATATATTTCTCTGATGTCTGAAATCTAAATAATTTTGTAAATGTTTTGAAAAAATAGCATATATTTATGTTATTTTCAAATTACATCTCTCTATTCAATAAATTACACTGAAGAATTCATTATAAATATAGTAATAAGATGGTGTAAATATAACTATAAGATAAATATAACTATAAGACAGTGCCAGTGGCTAAAATAAGCCGTTGTTGCTAGACAATCTCGTTGCATCAGTAGCAACGGCCAGGAATATTTATAACGTCAAATCAGTGGCCCACTTGATTAATAGGCCTGTTCGGTAGGACTAAAAAATACTATTCGGCTGATTATTGTGAGAGAAAAATACTGTTCTGACAGAACATGAACAGTGATTTTATGAGAGATAAAACCAGCCAGCTGGCTGGCAACCAGCCAGCCGAACGGCCCAGAGCCTGTGGATGCGCCCGTGCTAGTTACAAACCAAATGGCAACGAAGAAAGACTACAGTTTTTAATGGCATATAAAAAAGAGTATATTGAACAAATTTTCTCTAATATATATCTGGGTGGACAGCTGGAGCAGGCCGTTCTGTCACCGACCAGCCCAGAGCCCATGCCGTTCTCTCAACTATTTATTATTTATTTTTATATTATACTAGGATCGTGTCTATTCGTTGCAACGGAAACAAAACAATATCTAGGCCAGGATTATTTTTCTCCATCTTTCAGAACCAGGATTTAGGATTACAACAATTGTTGGGACTCAGGATTATCAGTGATAACAATTATTTTTTGACTCTATCATTGCAATTTAGTCAGGGATTATGCAATTAAGCTAGCTACACCAAGGCTGTGCCCAACAGGGAGGGGGCTGGCCCTTGGACACCAGCGATGGGGCATAATTAAGCCAACTGTGTGCGTGCATGCCCAGCTGCACCTACGCCATGGCCGGCCGCTTAGTTTCTTGTACTGAAAAACCTAAACAAAAACTCTAAACATACCTGTCGACAGGGATGATCCGATGAGGCTGCGTTCGGCTGACCAAGAAAATGCACTGTAGCGGCTGAAAAGCACTGTAGCGGCTGCTATTTTGTGAGAGAAAAATACTGTTCCGGCTGAAAAAAGAAACGGATGAAGCCGGGTTTAGGGTCAGCCGAACGCAGCCTCAACATGTGCCGCACTCACGGGTGTTGTAGATGGTCATATCACAACGCTGACGGCATGGGGATAGCGCAGCTATTAAATCGACATGCTGAGGACAACTCCAGCCAGATTGCAGCAATTAGCCTGTTCGTTTGTTGGTTTTAGCCAACCTAAACCAGCCAGCCAACAGTGTTTTTCTCTTATAATAAACCAGCATTAGCTAGCTTAAACCAGTCCAGAAACCTACCAACGAACATGCCGAATGAAGTTATCGTGTCGCGGTAAAAATTACAGAAACATGTAGCTGCAGGTACAATCAGATGAAGTTTCAGAACCGAATAACCCAAATGAATGGCCGAAACAAAGCTCAGACCTGCGGTTACTTTCTGAATAACAGGACCAGTATGGAGAGTCACGACCTGGATGACATACTGATGATCGGTGTTCGGCTGAGCTGGATTAAAGCCGGCTGATCGTTTTGGCTAATTTGTTGTGAGGGAAAAATACTGTTTCAGCTGGAACGTGAACAGTGTCTTCTGAGGAGGAACCAGCTGGCTCCAGCCAGCCGAACGAAGCCGGCTGGTCGTTTTTGACTTGCCGTACTTTTTGTTGACTCGCTGTCCTCGTTGGAGGATGCGTAGAGGAGTAGAGCAGCACGACCTACTCCACGAAGTACTCGAACAGGCTGGATCGAGGCGAATCTCGATTGGGCGACTCTCCTTCGTGCCACCCTTCCAGCCCTTTCCAGATCGAAACAGAACTCGACCAGGCCGCTCTCCTCCACACCGCCCCTGGTCGTTCGATGCTAGCAAGAGGGTGCGGCTGTGGCAACTGGCAATCAACGGGGGCAGGGGCGGCGGCAGGGATGGGGCGAGAAGGTGAAGGATGGGGCGGAGCAGATGCTGCTGGGTGGTGGCACAATGGGGCAGGGTCGGGGCGTGCGCGATGGGTCGGGGCGTGCGTAATGGCGTCAGAGATGGAGTGGGGGTGGGGGTGACAACGTGGCGGCGTACAGTCAGGGCGGCACGCGACAGCGGCGTATGAGTGAGGCTCGAGGGCGACGGCGGCACTCGGAGACGAAGACGGGGCTTCCTTTTTGCGGAGCGCTGATTGTGTGGGCCAGGAGAGGATGCGGGGAGCGAGATCTCGCATGGGGAGGAGCGCACGCCATGTAAGTGTATCGAGGCATCACAGATCGCGTGATTGGAGGAGGTGATCACGCGCGCGCCGGAGGCAAGCGAGCAGGTTGGAGATCGCACGGGCGGCAGATCGTATGGAGATTGAGCTGGTCGCATGGAACGAGTGCGCGTTGACTTCCTGATCTGATCGCATGGAGCGGCTTTGGTGTCGCACTTGTGGACAAAATAGTTATGAATGTTTTAGCCGTAGGCAGAGAAGAGATATGAAAAAGAAAGTTCGTGATCCCCGTCGATTCGTCGAATCAGTGACTCAAGAAACCCTAGCGTCACCTTCCTTCCTCCCTCCCTCCCTCCCGTCGGGGAAAAATTATAAAAATGATACTCGAAAAATTGACTCTTAGTTATAATGACATTTAGATGGATGACAAGTTGGTCTATCTGTATCTATAAATATGAGTTTAGTAACGACTGATATTTAATAATGAATGGGTCCATCTGTGTAAATATGGATCGAGTGTCAAATCTGCCGACGACCCATCCCCCACCGCCACGCGCGCGCGCGCGCACGCACATTGGCGGCGGCGAATCGATGGCGGGCCCCCTCGGATCCATGCCGACCCTGCCTAGGGATGTCGCTCGCTCGAAACCTTTAGACGAGGCCGAGTCTGAGCGAGCGGCAAAGACGGCAAAGGCGTTGATGGTGAGGCGGATGGCGAGCGAGATCTTGGCGGAGCGGCTGGATTGTGATGGTTTTGATGATGAGGATTATGATGATGACGAGGAGGACGACGAAGAGGATAATGATGATGATGTTGCTGTTGAGGTGGATGAGAAGGAGGAGGAGTGGTGGCAGAGGCTTCAGCAGCTGGAGATTCACTACGGCCCGGAGCTCGCCGCTCGTGATTTGGAAGCCGAGAAGCGCATCCTCGACTACGATCCCAAGCAGGGGGGCGTCTACCACACCCGACTCCACCATGTATATGACCTCGCCTCATTCGACCTCGACGAGGAGTGTGAGTAGTCCGTCCCCTCTCGCCATGCTCTGTGTTTGCTTGCTCGCTGATTCGAATTCCATCATTGCTTTGGTACGTTCGGTTAATTAGTCGATCTGTGCCATGTCATGGCAACCCCTGTTCTAGTTCTTGACATCCAAAGTTAAGTGGTTAATAATTTTTTAACAGGCTAAATCATGCCACTTGCTTAGAATCGAATCGTGTCACTGTGTTTCAGATCGTCATGTATATTACAAAGTGTGCCAACAATTCATGTTTGGCTAAGTTTATTGCCAGAATTTAAACTCCCAATGATGATGAAATATGCGCTAAAAGTTTAATGGGCATTTGTGCTTTGATTGAATACCAAAAAGAAAAGAAAATCCCTTAGCCTTCTGACTTTTTGGTTGGTTATTAGGAGCCCTGGGTGACGATTCTGCGATCCTGTGGGGAAATAGAACAAAAAAAAGAAGAGAAATTGCTGAGTATTAGGTCCTGAACAAACTATTAATTTCCAGGTCAAGTGATCAGAAACTTACTATTTTTTATGTCGCCCTTTCAGTGGAACATTTCATGCATTTGCTGTCACTGCACAAAGGCGTAGTCATCTTTTATTCTGGCAATGGTTGGACACAGCCAATGAACCACTGATTCCACCAACTGGTGTCGATTCCTGTTTAAGACTAAGTGTCTGTCCTGTTAAGGGGTTCTTTTCGTTTAGGGAGTCTGTTGGTAATGTTGCCTAATTGGCTGAACACTTTGTTCAGAGGTTGGGGCAAGTTCAAGTCCTGGTCGTGAACACGTGGCAGAACTTGTTAAACTCACTGTATTTTCGTTGCTTACCAGTAATGAAATTCGGTTTTTCTGTAGTGAAAAAAAAATTGGTGTCAACTTGGATCATTAACTGATCACTGCTGTTAGAAGTAGGGATGAAACCGGATCGGATACAGACGGATACCAGTGATCCTGCATTGTGTCCCATATCCCATATTATGTCCCATATTTTTATCGGATGTTAGAACCGGATACGGATCATTTCGGATATTGATATCTATCTCATATACATATCAAAAATCTGATTTTTGAGTATTCGGATCCGGATACGGTCGGATATTAAATGTTCGGATTTAGATACGGATTATCCAAATAGTGTTTTTGACTCTTTCGGGACGGACGGATGTCGGGAAATATTCATCCCGTTTTCATCCTTAGTTGGAAGTGGTACACCCAACTAAAACGCTGTAACTGACAACAACTTTTTCTATTCCCATAATGTGAGCAAATACCACAGTATGTCATCAGTTACCGATGTCATAGACGTCTGATCAAAGTGGGTCACAAGTTAATCAGCTCTCAATCTAAAGGCACATAATTACATTTTTTTTCTATCGTAAAAGGCATGCATATAACTACCTGATGATGTGGTTTAATGAGGAGACTCGGTTTGCACTCAGGGGTATAAGATAGAAGGATCTTTATCTACTCAATTTGTCATAACCCTTTGTTTTTTTTCCACATTGCAGCGCCCCTTCCACCGATGAGATTTACTGACGTGGTCTACAAAAACAATAGCGACTTTGAGCTGTGTGAGGCAGTAAACATCTTATCTGTGAAGATGGGCTCCCTGGATATTGACTTCCCAATCCATGTCTACGGCACTGTCATTGCGAGAGACAGCCTTGACAAAAAGTGTGTTTATCTCTTCCGCTGTGATAGAGAAGACTCCCAAACTATCAACTCTAAGGTATGTCACTCTATTAAAACCAAGCTGTCTTGCACATGGAGACTAGCGAATTGAGTGACAATGTAACTTGTAGTGGCAGTCAAGTTGATACACGTCTTTATTTATCATTCTGAGTTCATATGGTGTTGAACGATTTGGGGTCTCCAGGCCACTGTTAAAAAATGTCAGATAACCGCATAGTGATCTTATCAAAATGCACATTTCAGAATGAAATGTATTACTCCTATGATTTTTGTGTTTGCTTTGTACACACAATGGGCACACCATGGCGGTATGGTGGTAGTGGTGGAATTATATGATGGAACTTTTCCTTTGTCTTATGGAGCGTAGTATGATAACTACAAATGAATCCAATTATTATGGCAGTTGGTGTTTTCCTTTTGGGGATGGTAATATCATGTGGTTTGAACATGGTATCAAACATGACAACACTTTAGCTTCTGATCAGTCTAATCGTACTACCCTTACGACGCCTACAATAGTATAGCATTGGACCATTACAGTTTCATCCGTGGTAACAGCTTTCTTATGCTTTGTGGCTCGAATTTTATTCTAATTGGATCACATCGCTATTTATTTTGATATCTTGAGGAATATAGCACTAGCTTACCATGCAATCGTGTGTGTAGGATGAATCGCTGATCTTGACAGGACCAAAACGAGGTCTCGCTCTGATAAGTGATACATATGTTGAGACTAATCTAATGATCAAGGGTGATGAGTTGCAGCAGGACAGAGAACTCAGTAAAGGAATCCTAACAATTCAAGGCACAGAACGGCTCGCGTTTAGGAATTGTGTGCTTGAAAGTTGCTCTCTCGCTACCAGGCTCAGTACTGTGGATGTGGTGTATGGAGTTGTGAAAGATGCAGTGGAGGCTACCATTTCAGTTGAAGTTTTAGCGGGAGAATATTTTGGAGAAATTACAGCCTGCACCAGCAGCATCAAGAATAGGCTTGTGCTTCATGACAGCAGATTGACTCATAATGCTAGTGGTCAGAACATTGCCCCGCCCGTCATCCCACTCTTGCGATCTGTGGTGGCTGTCTATGTCAAGGAGATGCTGTTACTGACTATTGCCGCCCACACTGATGATGGAGAAATTAAAAAGTGCATTGACTATACTCCAAGAGTCAATGGTTCAAATCTGGATTTAATTACTGTTGGTGCCACAACACTGAGCGTGAGGGTTGTATGGTCAATAATTGACTTTTGAGTACCACAAATGGGTGGTATTTAATAAGTTATGATGGAAATGTTTGTCCGTAACTTTGTTTATCCAGTTGGGCTGGTCATTTGTCCTATATAAGTGGGAATATCTGTCGAGTCATTATGGAAAACTCGTTTATCATGTTGGCCTTGTGTGAACATGTCACTGTGCTGTGCCTTCTCTTTGATCTCGTAACAATTTACTCCCTCCATTACAACAGATTGTATGTTGTTACTTTGGTACCAAGAAGAATGTCATTCTAAGTTTAGTCGGTCAAGCTTTCTTAAGCTTAACTAAATTTATAAAAAATATTAGCAACATTTGAATCACTAAAAAAAATATATTTCATGATTAATTTATCTGGTGGTACTTATTACATATCATAAATATTAGTATTATCTTAATATGCTTGGTTAAATAAATGGAAAATGATATTCTCTTTTGAATGAAAGGAGTAGACATAAAGTGTAAGTTATTGTGTCTTTATATATAGATACATAGTTTTTCACTTTTCCTATTGGTCAGTCGCCTGAAATCTCATTTTATCTGTTTGTGAATAGAATACAGTGTATACAGATTGCCACCAATGGATGTTAATATGATGACTGCTAGTTGTCGCCTATAGGTCCTGCAGTGTCGTGAGTTTGGGTCATGAACGGGACAATAAACCAATTAATTCATTATTGTCGTGGATTTGATAACGGGACAATAAAACAATTAATTCATTATTGTCGTGGGTTTGACAACGGAACAATAAATCAATTATATGGCTCTAAAATCTCTAATTCATCATGTATTTTTACTTTTATTAAAACTTACCATGACTATGATGCTCTAGAGAGTGGTGGGACACACAGATAGTGAGGGTGCGATGGACCAACAAAATGAAAAAATTTCTCGCTCTTCAATATTAGTTATTATTATTATTATAAGGATATTTCACAATTGTTGCAAGGACACGATATCTGGCTATCAGGTGGAAGGTCACGGAAAGCAAAAGACAAGAATTGGTCGACGCCGTCTTTGTAAGTAGGGTCCCGTCTTGGTTTACTCATCCAACGTCGATCCACCCCCTTAGGATGATCTGCAATTGTAGAACAAAATCAGTATTTGGTTAGTATGTCATATCATAGTTCAAATGAATTTATCTCAATCGCTAGTCACATATGTCCTTATATGCATGACATGCCTTATGCAATAAACTTTGTATTTAAACATGAGAATGGCAAGCAATCTAAACAGGACCAACTAGCACATGGCCTGTTCGCTTGGTCGTAAGCGATCGTAAATTTTTCAGCCAGAACAATATTTTTCTCTCACACCAAATCAGCCAGCAATAATAATTCATGATCGTTCAGCCCCAGCCGAAGAGGCTCACATATGTCGGGAATTATTTGCTACTGCATGGATGATATGATTTATGGAACCTTGTGCTGCAATTAGCCGCCGAGGAACAGAGTGCCTGACGGAGCTGCAGGCGGAGGGTGTTTAGGCCCTTGTTTAGTTACCCAAAATCCAAACTTTAACACTATGCAAAAAGAAGATTTCCCGTCATATTAAACTTGTGGTACATGTATGGAGTATTAAATGTTGACGAAATCAAAAACTAATTGCACAGTTTGATTGTATTTTGAGAGACGAACATTTTGAGTCTAATTAGTCAACGATTGAACAATTAGTACCAAATACAAACGAAAATACTACAGTACGCTGCAGTGCAAGCAAATTCCGGCGGCGCCAACTTCGCCAGCCAACTAAACGGGGCCTAGATGACCTGGGGGCGCAGCGGCCTGGCGTCAGGGACTTCGAGGTCGACAACTGTGCAGGTGCCTGCTGCGTCGGACGACCGGAGAGCGGCGTGTCTACGGGCCCTGCGAGCAGCCGCAGCCGTCGAGCTGGGGTGCAGTGGCGGCGCCCCTGCCCCCTGCGATTCAGTCCCAGCCGTGGAGCACTGGAGCAGGACTCCAGCGGCGGCACACGGCCCGGGAGTAGGTTGTGGTCGGCGGCTCTTTTGTCGCTGGAACAGAACGGCACCACAGCAGCAGTACGGTGAGCAGCGCCGTGCCGACGTGTGCAGCAGATCCAAGCCGATGTGGGCAACGGGACATAGGGATTTGATTTGAGTAATTTATTTTACTTGGTGCATATATAACTGGTTAGGTTATCTCTAACAACAACACCCAAAATACAAGATACATTCGTCATTTGGGTAGTGTTACAAGGAAAAGGTTCAATACCTACTTGACATCTTCTCCAACAACAAGACCCAAAAAAGAATTATTTCTGCAAATTGGTTTACAGAGGAGAGAATACCCATATTTGGTTTGTGCCTCTCAGGCAACCCAAAATAGGTCTCCCGTATATGTACTCTGTTGGAAGCTAATTTTGGGTCTCTTGCTACCCATTTTGAATTTAGGTGCCCATATGAGTTTCTTGTTGGAGACCGTCTTAGCAAGGCCTTAATAAACAGTGTATGAACAAATGTATATATATATATATATGTGTAGTTGCCTGGTAAGAGCATCTCCAACGGTCCTCCGTTCCTCACCCCTAACCAGAAAAAACTGTCATTTTAGAGATTTTGTAGCTCCAGCAGTTCCCCAAATCCAACCCTAACCCCAATGAGAATTTTTTTCTCATCCCTCAAATCATAACGTCCCACCCCTCAAGTAAAAGGGGAGACCTCTCCCCCCAGTCCATTATTTTTCTCATTGAAGATTGGATTTTCTCATTCTGGCCTGAGAGAAGAGCTTCAAAATCCCAAAAGACTTTTTTATATCTCCCCCAATAAGTAGTTTTTGGGTTGGAGTTTTTCTCCTACTGCTGGCTGGAGATGCTCGGCCTCGTTTGGTTGTCCGTGTATTGGGGTGGTTTGAGCCCCAATCCACGCCCCATGTGGAAGCAGGCCCATGCCGGTGTCGGCATCTACACCCGATTCAAAACTGCATTTGGCAACCCGTGTGTTGGCGTGGGTGACACCCGAACCCCGGTCGATCCATAGGTGAGAGAAAAATCTCCACCCGAGGCGTGGAACAGCCGAAGCTCGCGAGTCTCGCGTCGGGCGCTCGCTCCTTCTCACGCCGCCACCTCTAAGACGTCCGTCGTCTTCTCATTGGACCTCGGTAGCTCCTTGGTGGATCCATGTGTCAAGTCCCCTCCTCCATCTCCTCCTCCACGTCATGTCGTTTCTCTCTCCCCTTCCTCTTATCCTCATCCACTTTTTTTGGCAAATTTTGCTGCTGGACACCGTTCTTTGAGTGCTTGTTGAACACCGCTATTCCGTTATTCATTTCCTCACGTTTAAAGAGAGAGAAGGTGGGAAAATGTCACTTGTACCCTTGTCTTCGACCTCCAGCTACTCACTGAGTATTTGAGTATTTGCCATAAGACACTGGCCAGACATGGATAAGAAGCACATGGGCGGACCTCCCGGCGACCGAGCAGCAAAGCGAGGCAGCGCAGAGCAGCAGCAGCGATTCTGCATTTTGGTGAAAGAGCATGGTCCGGTCGTTTATGGCCACACTTGGGAAATGCTTGTGGTGGGTTTGGGATATTTGTATCTGTATAATACTGGATTCAAGTGTGGTGAGGTCAGAGCTCTTACATGCAAAATGTCCTTTGGCAAGCTCGTATTTAGGATTTTTTTTCGAAACTTTCAGCAAGCTTTATTGATTCATACATCGTTTACAAGCAAATGCAGGATAGATGACGGGGATCAATTACGCCTAACCGATCTAGCTGAGTAGTTAGCTACCAGTAGACGCTTTCCCCCGCGTCGCTCCCATGCGAGCGGCTCAGGCGGCTCCTCCCCCCAAACCCTAGCAGCCCCTCCCCTCACCCGCCGTGCCACCGCCGGAGCTGGCCGCCGGCATGGCCGCCCGGGCGGCAGGGATGGCGGCGGCGGGGCCTTTCTCATCTCTCTCGGCGGTGCGTGCGGCAGCAGGCCGACGGCCCCTCCCCTCGCGTGAGCTGCGTGGAGCTCAGCGGGGAGGGCCGTCACGGCTACGGCGGCGCCGGCTAGTGCCCGAGCTGGCGCAGGGGACGGCGGCGGGCTCTCCTTCTCCTCCACGTGTTCCCCTCCTCCTCTCTTGACGGCGACGGCTGGGGCCGCCGGTCCGGGCCACGTGAGCTCAGATCCGGTGCCCGGGTGGCCGGATCTGGACTCCAGGTGGCTAGTTCGGCTTCGGGGCGGGCGGCGGGCGGTGCCTACGGTCGTGGTCAACACGGAGGCGGTGGCGGCGGCATGGGGCGCCGGGTTCGGGGTCTGGTGTCCGGATCTGGCGGTCCCAGGGCAGGGGGCGGTGCCCGAGATGGTGGGGCACACGCCCTGTTGCGGCTGGCGGCGAGGTCGGTTGCGACATCGGCGGGTGCCTAGGCCGACGAAGATGGTCAGTGGCGGCCTCGTCGTGCGACACTGGGACGCGAGCGGTGGAGCCAGGTCCGGCTATGCGTGGCCCGGACGGAGGTGGTGACGGCCGACGCAGCTGTGCGGCTGCTGCGTGCAGCCGGCGCGTCGATGCCCCTCTGAAGGGGCTTCCGTGGGGCGGCGGGACAGCGACGATGGCGGTGTTGGCTGGCAGGGGGTCCGGCTTCGCGAACCGACGTTCGTGCTAGAGGGTTCTTGGGCGAAAGCCTTGGCGACGGTGACGCCATTGGGCGCCGCTTCCCTGTTGGGGGCGTCGTGTTCCCCTCTAGCATGTCATCCAAGGGCGAAAACCCCGGTCCACTTTGGACGTGCGACGGTGGTGCCATCGGCGTCGCTCCCTCCCTGAAGGCGTCGCATCTGGATTATCGCCGCGGCCTCGATGCGAGGCACGGGTTTGCGACTGGAAGTCGGAGCTGCTCTTCGTGGGGTGAGCTTGGCAACGATGACCGGTGGCGGTCGTTCCTTTGGACCCGTCGGGAGGTGACCAGTGGGGGGCTTGCCATGGGAAGTCAAGCTGCTGGCAGTTTTGCTTCCATGCTCGGCAACGATGATCCATGGCGGTGTGTCGTGTTTGTGCTCA